CATTAGTTATTATATTAATAAGAAGTAATTTTCTTTCTTTTTCTTTCAGATGTGATTTCTTTATATATATACTTTTAAGAGTTGGTACAACTTGTTGAAAATTTAGCGGTTTCTTTTATGTTGTTGCTGTTGTTGTTGTTGCGTGGCATATATAAAAATGATCTTTTTCAGATTTGTATTATTTATAAATATTTCAACTATTTCTGCTTCATTTTGTGTACTCCTTGTCTCACTTGCTCTGTATAAACCATTTTTTTTTTTTATCTTTGCTAGTTTTTTTTTCTTTTTGCACATTACTTGGGTTTTGTTGTTGTTGTTCAGGGTGTTTGTGTGTGTGTGTGTGAAAGAAATATATGTATAATCGATTAGCATTTTGGGAGGTAACAGGATTTTGATACAAAATAAATGTTATAATATTTAAATGCAAAAACGATTTCGAGTTCGAATTTCATTTAAAAATGGTGTTAAAAATAACAAATTTACAATTTTGAAAGGCGGGCCATGTGTGGGAGTTGTAGAGGAATACGAATTCGTTTTTGGATATATCAAAAATCAGAGTATACAAATTATTCGCATAATTATCGTTATATGTATGTAATGTAATGTATTTATATATAATGTATATATAATTGTATAATGTATGTATAAATGTATTATTTCTATAATGTGTGTGAGTTATGTATTAAGGCAAACTCGAGTAAACAAAATAAAASAATTCATAGCTCTAAACATATACGTGTGTGTGTGTGTGTGTGTGAGAGAGAGAGTGTGTGAACAACATTACAACTAAACCCATTGTGTGTCAGTATGTGTGTGTGTGAGTGTGTATGTTAAGTTCATGTTACTGTTGCTCTTACTGCTGTTAATGTAACAACTGTTCTGCTATTTACTGTTATCTGTTTTCTGTTATCTGTTGCATTTTTCTCACTTTCTCAATCTACGCTAATTTTTGCTATAATTTTTTTTTTTTTGTTGCTCTTGTTGTTGTTGCCTGTTACTATTAAGTATTAGTTGTTTTTTTTTTTTCGTTTTTTTTTATCATATTTTTGTTTTTGTAATACAAAGAAAAACGATTTTCTTTTGTGGATATCAGACGCCATTGTCGGCGCGTTCTTCTTGTGGTTAACTAGTTGCTAATTTACATTTACCATTTTGTTTTTGTTTTTGTTTTTGCTTTAGCTTTTTAAATTATTATATTATAATTATTATTATTATTAACTTTCTGCTGCTTCTTTACGTTGTGTTTAATATAGTTAACAAAAAAAAAAAAAAAAAAATACACGTTATTAGCAGCCTTTTAAACAACTATGTAGCTCTTCATCTCTCCTCATGTCCACCACTTCTCCACATCTCTTCTATGCTTATCTCTTATCTGCTTCTGCTTCTACCTCTCCTTCTACTTCTGTTCTTGGTTTAGCAATTCAGCAATTCGTCCTTAGCTTCGAACCAATTCTCGCTGTCTTTGCTTTGTTTTGCGTTCTTTCTGCTATTCTTGTTGTTGTTTTTTTTTTTTTTTTTTTCTTGCTTTACGCTTGTTTATCACATTTAATATATATGTATGCATGTACATATTTATATTTATATATGCATATATAGTTGTATTTAATTTAGTATTGTTTTTTTGTTTTTGTTTGTTTTTGTTTTTTTTTTTGTTAATTTTTTATGCATTTGCGGCGCGCTTTGCTTCAGAGGCGTCAGTGGAAATTCTTCGGGTTGTTCTTGCTGGTTATTGTTGTTGTCTCTCTCTCTCTTTCTGTCGCTCTTGCTCTTCCTCTCCAAGTGCAACAACAGATGCAGCAAGTGAGCTCGTTAACTGTTGGCAGTGTTGCGCTTAACGTCCTTGGGCACAATCTACAGCAATTCCTGTTGCAGCAGCAACAATTGCTGTTGCTGCTGCAGTTGCGCCTGCTGTTGCAGCTGCTGCTGCTGCCAGCGCTTGTACATGCCCAGGTAGGTGCGTGTCGTCGTTGTTGTTGTGGTGTTGGTGCTGGTGCTGGTGCTTGTGCTGGTACTGGTGCTGGTGCTGGTGGTGCTGTTGCTGCCGATGGTTGTTGCTCCAGCTCCAGGTATTGCTCCAGCTGCTCCAACACCGGTCACCAACGTGGGCATGGCTAATCCGGGCAGCTGCAGTTGATGTGAGTGCAATGTTGTTCCAGTTATTGTTGTTGTCGATGATGAAGCTGCTGCCGCTGCTGCTGCCACAGATTGCAGTTTGTAGTGTGTGGCATCCATCACAGTCTCATAGCAATAGGCGGCCGCATCCAGCAATGTGGTGGCATAGTAGCTGCTGGTGTGCAGCCGCCGATTGCAATAGGGGTTGTTCATGATGTTGTTGCTGCTGCTGCTATTGTTGCTGTAGTTGTTGTTGATGCGCTGCTGTTGCGGTTGCTGTTGATGTTGCTGTTGCTGTTGCTGATGCTGCTGCTGTTGCTGTTGCTGTTGATGTTGCTGGTGGCTAGCAGCTGCTGCTGCGGCGGCGAATTATGAATTGGAATTGCGTTTAGTTGGCAGCTAGGATGAGCTGGACTGATTCATATTGCCAAACATGTGGGCTGAGAACGAGGTTTGCCCCGCCGAATTGGCCTGCGACGTGGACGACTGTTGTTGCTGTTGCTGCTGCTGTTGCTGCTGCTGCTGTTGCGCCTGCTGCTGATTCAGCGAGCCCCGACCGTGCTTCGGTATGGGCGGCTGTATATACTCGTGCCTGGCCAGTGCAAACACATCCATGCGATCCTCCTTGCGGTAGGCCAAACAGCCGCGAATGAAACTCTGCGAACAGAAGCGAAAGCCATTAATCAATATTCGAGAAAGGTTGCATATAGAAAATATATAGATGTATGTGTGGAGGGCAGCGCTCTGCTAACCTTTGCCTCGTTGGACACAGTTGGCTTGTTGGAGAACTGCACTTCGGTGGCCTTCAGTATGGTATTCTCCTCGAGAATTGTGGCCTGCGATTGATTGTGGCCGAACGGCTTCTTTCCATATAAACACTGATAGAATATCACGCCCACACTCCAAACGTCCACTTTCGATGAGATTTTCGGTGGATTCTTGCCAACCACAAAGCATTCCGGCGGCAGATACCTGACAGATTGAGATACGGATTGTTAGTTATAGATGGAACAGATGATATCGATGATATGGTAGTATATTTTATATGCATTCTCGCTCATTTACCAATAGGTGCCCGCGCCCTGCGATGTCAGATCCATGCCATGATCCGGATTGTAGTTCTCGTCGTCCATCACCTTGGACAGACCGAAATCGGTGATTTTGATCTCGCCACAGACATTGCCCTCGGTCAACAGGATGTTGCCCGGCTTCAGATCGTAATGGATGACAGGCGGTTTAATCTCATTTAGATACTTGAGTGCAGATACAACCTGAATATGTAAGGATTATTATCATTATCATTATCATTGAATAGTATTCCATATATGTGTTGTCATTACGATTTTTCCCACACTCACCTGCATTATGATCGAGCGCGCCTCACGCTCGGGTATAGTCTTATGCTGCTTCAGATAAAAGTCGAGATCGTGCCCATCACAATACTCCAGCACGGTGCAAAACGAATTCGCATCGATCTCAAAGACATCATAGAGCTTCACCACGCGCGGATGATCCAGCGCCTTGTGTATGTTGTACTCCCGCAATGCGTGTCTAGATGGGATTTGGGGGAATGGAAATGGGAATACGAATATATATATTTATAAAGTCTGATCAACATATGCTCCAAATCCCACGCTCTTCGGCTCTTGGCTCTTGGTTCTTGGCCCTCTTCTACTAGCAAAAGCGTACTAATTGCCTACGAGAACTAGAAGACCAGAAGAGATCGTTTGAGTGTCTAAGTCAACTATGCAACTTGCCCCACTTGAAAGCGTCCGCAGATCTCATCTCTCTTGGAGAGATCAGGGATCATGAAATAGAGAGAGATTCGACAGCCTATGCGCTTGCATTAGAGCTAACACTAAAGTGTTAATCGAAAGAGAGATACATGGATAGTTGGTTAATTGAAGAGACCTCAACCTCATCACGATGCTATAATGCCCTATAATAATGGCGTCCTATAATTCCGTCGCTGCTGCCTCTACTCACTTGATATAATTAGCTTTCTTATCCTCCTTCCAATCCTTGTTTAATTGGTGCACCTTACATGCGACATAGCGTTGCTCCTTGAGGTCAAAGGCCTTGTGCACCTCGGAGAAGCCGCCCTTGCCCAACAGCATCAGCAGCAGATAGCGATCGTTCAGCACGGGATGATTGTTAAAGCGGGACTGCAAGACGGAGAGAATCAGTTGGATTAACACCATGACACCATTGAGAGATACCTATATATATATGTCTGTATGGATATAGCCATATAGCCCACCTGATCTTCGTTGAGTATGCGCTTGAGCTCGCGTATGTGGAGATTGCGTTCGCGCTCAAGCTTCTCCATCTCCAGCTGCAGATCGGCGTCCTCCTTTTTGAGGGCGTTCTGTCGCAGCTTGAGTATCTCGTCGTATTCGTAATACTCCTGCGCCGTGTACGCGCCCGACACCGGATCCGGCTTGAGGAACGTGCCCGAGTCGGAGCAGCTGCCGCTGTCGTTGCCGCCGATGCCGCCACCGCCGCCGCCGCCTCCTGCGCCAGTTCCGCTGCCAGCGCCGCCGGCACCGCCGCCGCCGCGATCCGATAACCGATCGCTGACGCCGCCGCCGCCGCCACCACCGCTGCCGACATTGCCGCCAGATCCTCCTGCACCGCCAGCTCCGCCAACGCCACCGCCAGCGCCGCCGCCTCCATTATGGAGCAGTTGCGCCTGCTGCGCCTGCGTCGAATTGGAGCGGGAGAGACCACGGCCGCAGGAGACGACCACAACGGCGCCGCTGCCAGCGCCAACGCCAACGCCGCCGGCGCCACTCGTATTGACGGCGGCGTTGCCGACAGCGATGCCGCTGTCCAGGCTGCCGGCGCCGGCGTTGCCGCCCAGCCGATCCGTCAGCTGGGAGGAGTCATTGGAGTTGGAGTTCTGTTGCTGTTGCTGCTGGTGCTGGTGTTGGTGCTGGTGCTGATGCTGGTTGTTCTGCTGGTTGCTGTTGTTGTTGCGCTTTCGCCCAGACTCGGCCGGACGCTTCTTCATCAGCTGCTTCTTCTGGCGATCGATCTCCTCGCGCTCGGCCGTTATCTCCTCCTGCCGCCGGCTGAGCTCCTGGAACGCATAGCCGTCCGTCCAGTTCTCCTGGAATGTGGCGCCGACGCGCTGCGTCACAAACTGACCCAATCGTAGGCGATTCTGCATGCACTTCTGGCGCGCCTCCTTCTTCTCGATGCTGCTCTTCTCCTTGAGCAGCTTCTTCACCACATCGATGCACTTGGCGATGTGCGACTTGTGCTGCTCGATCGACTTCTGGTGGCTCATGATCTGGCACTTCTGCTCGTCCGACAGCCGCGTCATCTCGTCCAGCTTCACCTTGCCCGACTCGTGCTCCGCCTCCCGCTCCTGCAGCTCCAGCTGCGACACCTCCGTCTGGGTGCTCTTCGTGTACGTCATGATGGCCGCTGGCATTGACAGCGGCATCGGCGGCGGCGGCGGTGGTAGTCCGCCGACCACGCCCACATTGACGCCCACGCCCACATTGAGCGTGCCCAGCGTGCTGAGCGTGCTCAGCTGCTGATGCGTGGGCACCACGGCCACACTGGCCGCCGATGTGGTCACGGGCAACTGTTGCTGCTGCTGCTGTTGTTGCTGTTGCTGCTGCTGCTGCTGCGCCGCCTGTGAGCCCACGCCCAGACCCAGGCTGGCGGCATTGAGTACGCCGTGCGCCACGCCCACATGCGACATGGGCACACCCATTTGCGTCTGCTGAGGAACCATTGCATTGGAAGTCTGTTGTTGTTGCTGCTGCTGCTGGCGCTGCTGCTGCTGCTGTTGTTGCTGCTGTTTGGCCGCTGCCGCCGCCGCTGCTGCCGCCGCCGCCGCCGAGCTAACGAAATGAAAGTCGGCGCCCGCCTGCTGCACCTGCTGCTGGCCGGGCTGGGACTGCGTCTGTGGACTAGTTGAATGATAGCCGTGTATGGAGTACGCACTCGACGTCTGCACCTGGCTGTTCACCTGCTGCTGCTGCACCTGCTGCACTTGCTGCACTTGCTGCACCTGCTGCTGCTGCGTGGCCGACGAGGGCGATTTGCTGCCCGTGTGTGGCCGCAGACTCGAGTTGCCGCCGGACTGCTGCTGTTGCTGCTTGTTGAAGTAATCGTTGATCTTCTTGTTGTCGCTAGCGCCCGGCAGCAGGAGGCGCGCGCTCTTGCCCCCAGCGCCCGCCCCGGAGCCACTGACACTGCCCGATCCCCCGCCGCTGCCACCACCGCCACTGGGCAGGGCGCAGCGATCGCCGCCCAGAGTCAGCGGCAGGCTGCCGCCGCCCGCCTTCGACATGGCGCTGTCCCGGAATGCCAGCGACTTGCCCACCTTCAGCCCGCTGACAATGCCGCCGCTGCTGCTGCCGCCTCCTCCTCCGTTGCCCGTCTCGTCCGAATTGTTGGGCATTTTGCGTTTCCGTTTGCGCTCCGCGGGCGTGCGCGGCTGCTTCCCGCTGGCATTGGTGGCGGGTCCTGGTCCTGGGCCGGGACCAGGTCCGGGTCCGGGTCCACTGCCCGGCCCTGTGCTATTCAGTTGCTGCTGCTGCTGTTGTTGCTGCTGCTGCTGCTGTTGGAGGCTGCCGAGTCCTAGCATATCGTTGACATCCTTTTCACTGTGCGAGGAACCAGTGCTCATATTCGAGTCCGGATTGCTGCTGTGTCCGCCAGCAGCGCCGTGCGGCTGTTGTTGCTGCTGCTGCTGGTGCAGCGCTGCGTGTGGATGCTGTGGATGCAAATGTTGCAGCTGCTGTGGATGCTGTGGCGGCAGTGCACTGTGATGCAGCGACTGTTGCTGCTGCTGTTGTTGCTGTTGCTGCTGTGCTAAAGCCGCCGCTGCTGCTGCCGCTGCTGCCGCCGCCTGCTGTTGTTGTTGCTGCTGCTGTTGTTGTTGTTGTTGCTGCTGCTGCTGTTGTTGTGTGGTGAGCTGCTGCAGATGCAACGTGTGCGTCTGCAAGTGCTGCTGCTGCGTTAGCTGCTGTGGCAACAGTTGCTGTTGCTGTTGCGCCTGCGTACTGTGATGATTAGCAAAATGTTGCTGCTGTGGCTGCGGCTGCTGTTGCTGCTGTTGTTGTTGCTGTTGCTGTGCTGCTTGACTGCTCGGATGATGATGACTTAGGGTCGATGTGGTCTGTGGGGCCATCTGCAATTGAGCGCCGGCGGACATCTGCAAAGCAAAACAAGCAAATATAATACAAATATTAATTTACTTAGTTGCGTTCATCTTTTTTATTTCTATATTATTTATATATAAATTTATTTATGCTTTTTTAATTTATACATGAACTTGAGCAAATGATCGATTCGATTGCTCGCTTATCGATATGCCGTGACTTTTGCAGCACTGAACCACTTTTTGTTTTGATTCGCTGGTTCGTCGGCGACAGCGCAGCGCAGCGCTGCCAGACCTATGCCTCTCAACTAAGTGGCAACGGTGAGGCTGAGCCGCAAATTGAAATAAGAAAAAAAAAATGGCAGAACAGCGAAAACAGCGAAAGAGAAACGTGCAAAATACATGGCAACAAAATGACGAGTACGTATGTATGTGTGTGTGTGAGTGAGTGAGACGTCATAGCAAGCGCGTGCTACTCTGCTGAGCGCCGCTCCGCAAGACATGCGTGTGAGTGAGCGCAATGCAGCAGCAGCAGCAGCAGTGTTTGTATGTATTTGTGTGTGCGCTTCTGCATGTGTGAAATATTTTATCAAAAAGCAAAGACAATGAGAAAAAAATCGACACAAGAACAAAGTTGAAAATCGAAATACAAATTTTATGTCTACCCAACACACAACATTTTTTTCATTATTTACATATGTATTTACTTTTTGCCAGCACTCATTATTTCTTTCCCTACACAACACAATTTAATTATTATTTTTCTTTCCGTTATATTTTTTTTTATTATTATTATTTTTTTTTTTTTTGCAGTTGCTTTGTGGATGACCGTGTTTGTGTAAGTGTGAACGTATATTGTATGTGAATATGTATTGAGTAAAGGTATATATAAATATATATTATATATACTTGTATGTATGCGAGTGTGTATGTGTGTCTTATTTATGACAAAATGCCGTTCACCTTTTTTAAGCGCCGCATATTTTTCTGCACACACATACGCTTTGCTTCTGTGTGTGTATGATGCGTGTGTATGACGTGTGTGTGTGTGTGTGCGTATATGTGTATGGATGAATTTTCACATTCTATTATAATTTATCACATTCATTGTTGTTGTGTATATCTATGCACTTTGACGAATTTTACATTACGCTTTAACGATTATAATCGACTATTTTGCACGCCGCGTACTTAGTTTATGGCTGGTTTTTGTATTTTTCTTTCAGTTCTTTCGGGGCAGGCAGCAAATTGTTATACGCGTATTTGTAATGGTGCGCGCGGCCCGTAACAAGCAAGAAAGAAGGTGAAAAAAGAAGAACAAGAGCAATAAAACGCGTACACAGACAACGGGCAACGGCAGCGACAACGACGACAGCAGCAGCGACAGCGACGAACGTCTCAAACTCGGCGCTTTTGCTATTTACAGAGAGCACGAGCGCGAGAGCAGGGGTGAGAAACACACAAAACCAAAAAAGAGAGCGAGAGAGTGAGAAAGAGCGAGCGTACAACGAGCCGAACCGAGCCGGAGTCGAGAAAACAACACAACACAACTGCACGACTACACTACACAGCACTACAAAGTATTTGCAAAAACGAGGAAAGAAATGTACAATAAAAATTAATCCGATTGACAGGCAGCAACCGCTTCGCGTCGTCGTCGTCTGTCGTTCGTCGTTCTCTCKCTCGGCCTTCGTTGGCCTGTTGGGTTTCTGTTGCTTTTGATAAATTTCTGCGACTTCCGCGCGCGCCCATCCAAAAACAACACCGAAACTAAACTACAACAACTATTTGTAGTTGCTGCTGCTCTTGCTGCTGCGACGTCGGCTCTGCTGCGACGACGCTGCTGCGCGACTGCGAGCGCTCTTCTTCCTTCTACACTTCCAACATTGCCCAGCAATCAGCGGCAGCAGCAGCAGCGCGACCCAACCGGCGTCTTTGTTATTTCGCGATGAGCGCGTCGACGCTGGCAGCGACGCTGACGACGCCATTGCCCAAATTATGTTCGTATTTATACACACACGTATATACATATATATACATACATACACATAACATACATTTACATAGTGTTGTGTGACTGTGTGAATATAAGAGCAATTTAAATTATAAAGCAAAAAATAAAAAATA